TTTCGAGTAGCGCGGACGTGGTGGAGTGCAGAGGGCGGAAGCCGTGCTGGTGGCTTGCTGGCGGCATGTGCTCCGTGACCGACGGGAGGAGTAGAGCTTCTAGCACCTTGGCTGCCGGGCACAGCAGTGATACTGGCCTGTACGACGTCGACTGCGACGGGTCCTTTCCGGCATTGGGAAGAGGGATGATGGTCGACATCTTCCAGATGGCCGGTATGGAGCAGCACGCAAGCGAAATGTTGAGGACGTCGGTGAGGCGCTCAAGGCCGAGCGGGCCGAGGTGCTTGAGGTGCAACATCGTGATGCCGTCAGGTCCGGCTGCCTTTGAATTCTTGGTTCGGCGGATGACTGCAGCGACTTGTTCGGCAGTGAACTGCGGTTCGAGTGGTTCTCTCTTCACCCACCGGACTGTCTACCCATGAGAGCGTCGCGGTCGTGGGGTCGGACGCGGGTGTACTGCTTGTTGAAGAGGTTCGCCAGTCGGTCGGCACGCGCGTGTTGCTCGCCGGAGAAGGAGACGGGTCCGTTCGGTGGATTGCAGGCCTTGCCGTCCAGGCTCTTGATGGTACGCCACAGGCGGCTTGCGTCCTTCCGGAAGTCTATCGATTCCACGTGCGACTGCCATTGCGCACGTTTCTCGGACGCGATGGTGTCCGTAATCTGCGCGTTGAGCTCCGCGATTCTGGGCGCGTAAGGTGCGACTGCACGAAGCCGGTCACGTTGCTGCGTTAAGGAGCGCACTTCGGCACAGAGGTACGGCACGATGAGCTTCCGGCGACCGGCCAGGATTGTGTGCTTGGAGGCCTCTTGTATTACCCTCCGGATGATCTTCTCCGCTGCAGCAACGGTGAGCCGTCTGCGTGGTGGCATGAGTTGTTCGAACTGCTGTTCCGAACGAACTGCTGTTCCTTCTCGCCATCTCGAAGATGGCGAGAAGAAGTGCCATCTTCTGAAGGCGGGCCAGTCCGCTTTACCGATGTTGACGTAGGTGGCCCGACGCGTGAAGAGCCCTTCGACGGACGCCTGGAGTCTAATCAGTATCGGCAGGTGGTCGGAGCCTAGCGCGACGAGGGTCTGCCACTCGGCCGATGTCAGCAGCGAGCTTGATACCAGCGACACGTCCGGTGTTGTCGGCTCGCCGGCGGTAGGTATCCGGGTGGGCGAGTCTTCGTTGAGGACTCCGTAGTCCGATTCGAGCATCTCATCGGAGAGCGAGGTCCCTCTGGCGTCCGCTCTTGTGGAGTGTCACAGCGGGTCATGCGCGTTGATGTCGCCGAGCACGAGAGTGTCGCTGCTGTCTCCGTCCTCCAGTAGGTGAGTTAGCGACGGTTTGTAGCCGTGTTCGCAGGAGCTATCCGGCGGGATGTAGACGTTGACGATGGTGAGATGTCCCGTCTTTGTAGTCACGTCCACTGCCATCTGCTCGAGGTGGGCGTCACCTGGCACTTCGACAAGAGCTCTCTCCGTGAAGACGAGACTGTGGTGGACGAGGATGGCTAGTCCGCCTCCGTGGGTAGTTCGGCCTTTCCGCACGGTCGTGTAATTGGAGAACTTCGGCGTCTTCTGCTTTGGACCGAGCTTGGTCTCTTGTAGGACGGCCACCAAGATGTCCCGTTCCGTAAGCAGCACTTCGAGCTCCTTGGTCTTGTTCTTGAGGCCGTTTACGTTCAGCTGCAGGACTGCGAAGTCGCGCTGTGTCTTCGGCGTCTCAGCGGTGTTGGCCGATGCAGGCACTTGGACGTCGCGGAGTGGCACTGGAGCAGGCACTTGGATGTCGCGGAGTGGCACTGGAGCAGGTAGCGTGACGTCTCGAAGCGGCACTGGAGCTGGACGGCATGCTGGGCAGGTGTAACTGGCCTGTGTGTAGTCGGCGGCGGAGTTGAGCTGCCAACAGTTCTTGCGACGGTGGACCCAGTTAGAGCATCGGATGCATTGCACTGAGTTGCTGGCGGCGGAAGTTCCGCATGTGGAACATGGCCAGCGAATGGGGCCGGGATTGGATTCGATGCCAGCGCGTAGAAGTAGCTGACGGATCAACGATGCTGGCAGTCGTCGATCCCATTTCGAAAAAACGATGAAGAGAGGTTGTGGGAGAGGTGATGAGGACCATTTGAGCCGGCGGTGAAGGCGGCATGGCAATACTTCGTAAAAGCGGTCCTCGTTGTTGCC